ATCTTCAGTTAATAAAAAATAATCTTCTACAACACTATCTGTCAATCAAAGTACCCCCACCTTCCCCCTCTTCCAACTGCAGAGTCAGTCCCAACCCTCCCCCACCCCCACCAATCCTCCCTTCCAGGTTTTAACATTTAGTATTAAATAATACCTCAGATTAAAGTTAGGATAATATAATTGACATTGCTGGATTCCAAGACCAGGAATATTTTGAATATAAATGTCATATATTTTGTAATAAAAAGATAACATAGTTAATTTGAGAAAAATTTTATCTAAAATTTGTATGTCTAATGCAAAATATGATGTTTATATTCAAAATGATCACCAAATTATAAGAACAGTGAGTTCTGCTATAACGCGTGTTTTGATAACGCGAATTTGCTCTAACGCGATTTATGATTCGAACAATATTTGTATAACGCGATCGCTTGTTTGCAATAACGCGATTTTTGCATTATTTCTCCAATTTTGTGGTATTAACTGTGAATATGGAAGAAGAATATCTCCAAAAGCATTCTGATGATAGAATTCCGGTGATTATTATCGAAAGAAAGGATATAACACTTAAAAAGCTTGATGTTATCAACCTCAAAATCACCCTTCTCCCCATCAAGTTACATTCATATTTTTCAAGGTAAAGTGTTAAATTTACTGTATGATTTCATTATTAGATATGAATGTAACATTTATTTAGACTGTGCTATCCTTGTGTTAGCTAACTACTAAATTTTTCATTTCTTTAGTAATCTGCACCTAACCCTTTTTTCTCCATAAGCCCTGTTATTTCTATTATTTTATAACACGATATTTTAAGAACACAATTATCGTTATAGCAGAACTACCTGAATTCCAGCAATGTAAATTATATTCAACCGGATAATTTGTATGAATTTTATGAGCTAAACAAATATCTTCAGTTAATAAAAAAATAATTCTTCACTGGTAACAGATGGTCGGTCGGTCCTCTCCCCACCCCACCAACCGGCCCCAAGGAGATGTGTGGGATAACCACTAAATTTTAATAAATAATACCTCAAACTAAAGTTAGGATAATATAATTGACATTGCTGATTCCTTGTAAGACTAGGAATATTTTGAATATAAATGTCATATATTTTGCACAAAAAGATAACATAGTTAATTTGAGAAAATTTTTATTCAAAATTTGTATGTCTAATGCAAAATATGATGTTTATATTCAAAATGATCACCAATATAATATATGAAAACGTGTTAAGTGAAAGTTCAGCCTGGCGAAAGCCAGATATGCAAAACGCTAAGTGAAAACCACGTAGGGCGGGTAATACTGTAAAGTGACTAGTTTAATGCTGCATCCAGCCTCTTAACACAGCAAACAGGCGTTAGTCTCTCTCTGTTTTCACTGGAGGTAACATCTTGCTTGAGACTCTTCAACTAAATGCTTTTTTCTGTGTTTCCAAGCAAATTATTGGCCATTTTGAAATTTATTTTACATATTGACAATATATAATGCAGTGCAGTGTTGATTTAAAGAAAATAATCTTGAAATACACCAAGAGAACTAAAATTTTATGGGTAAAATGGTGCCATGGGGTGACTTCTCTTCCACCCCAATGCCTCTCTTCTCCCTTCTCCTCCACCTCCCACTTCAAATGCACATCATCATCATCATCCAGGAGCCTTCTACATACACACCTCAAAGTAAGTGAACTTTTCTCCCATTTTTGTTGAATTTAGGCTATTTTCGGTGAGCTGGAACCAATTACCCAAAAACCCATTGAAACAATGGTTTCGGTTAATGAACTTTTCGGTTAACGAACGACCTTCTGGAACGGATTGAGTTCGTTAACCGAGGGACCACTGTATATAAAACTTACTGTGGATTTATCTCAATATTTGGGGCAATAATTTTGTTGTTCAATTTTACTTTCAGTACTTGAGTACTTCATGAGATACTTTTCTACTTTTATTTGAGAACATTGAACTTTGGATACTTTTACTTCTACTTGAGTAGCATTTTGCCACTGTAATAATACTTTTACTTAAGTAACAGTCAAATACTTTTTACAACTTTACTTTTACTTAAGTAACAAAGTCCAGTGCTTTTTACAACTCTGATAGTATGTAACAATCATCTCGGTGAAAACACTTGTCAACAACCAGACTGAGTCTGATTTTCAACCCATAGAGTTCTATCTCTTGTATTTGTTATTCTTTAAGTGATAGTGTTTTATTGACCTCGTTATGTACTTAAATACCTTAGTTGTTGCAGCTCAATACAGTATTAACAATATAACAACAACTGATTTTCTTGTATCAGTCCAGATAAGCAGTGTTATGTCTGGACCCCCCATAGATTCATTTTTCTTTACCTTTCACAATTTCCGGACTGGGATCTGTCTCAATTAATCCGGTGTATTGAAGTACAGTCGGCCCTTAACATAAGCGGGTTTAACTTACACGGATTTGCAAATACGGGATTGCCGCTGGAGGAATATACATTCAAAGGAATACACATTATTCAAATAGCACGCGACACCACACATTGCACACCACACACACACACACACACACACACACACATCGCCCGCGCCACACCGCGTTCCCGAGCTCCCTCAGTCAGTCAGTCTCGCTGTAACCACGCTTGTGTTGACATCAGCATTGTAGTTGCAAAAATATTACATTTCCGTGAATGTATTATATCAAGCACAGTATGAATAGAATATCACTAATATAACAGTATTTTAACCGAAAACTATTAAAAAAACGAGTAACATATCTTGAACATCGGAAGGTTAGGTAAAGTCTTTTGTTTTCATGTAGTTTATCCTAATTTACATTGAAATACATTACGTTTCAGCAAAACTACTATTTATTTCTGAGAATATGGAAATGTAATATTTTTGCTGAAATGACGTACGTATTACAGTGGAAAGTGTCGAAAGCAATGACTTTCGCTTTCTTTCGTTCAAAAGATGTTACCGTAATCACTTTTGATGGTTAACAGTTTTTTAAATGAAAACGATTCGAAAAACACGTGTACCGTCCAGCTGATACAGCAGAGCCCTGGTCGCAATCAGACCAGAAATTGTGGTAAAATCTTTTAAGAAATGTGGGATTTCGAATGGTCTTGATGGAACAGAAGACGACTTGTTGTGGGATTATGAGGCTAATGAGAGAGTGATTGAGGATGAAGATATTGATGATCCTATGGCTGATGATGGTGTTGATCCATATGACGATACTGTTCAAGGAGAGGACTGGGAGTAGCTGTTTGGTGCTGATGACAAGGAAATGATTTAATGGATTTTAATGAAAATATTCAGAAAAATGGTATCGTAGTATTTATTCAAGTGAATTAGGATAGAATATTATTGTAAAACAACAGTGTTTTAACTGAAAACCATTCGAAAAGTGATTACGGTAAAATCTTTTGAACAACAAAAGAAGGCGCAAGTCATTGTTTTCGTTATGATTTTATCCCACTTTCCACTGTAATACGTAAGTCATTTCAGCTTTAAGCAAAAATATTACATTTCAATATTTATTTATGAGAATATATTCATTCAGTCACAGTTAAGGTAAAATATACTTGTGATGTAATATTTTAATGAAAATACCCGGTATTTAGAAATACAGTATCGTAGTTTTCTTTTGTTTCAAATTTAATTAACAAAGATTGATGTTTCAAATGTAATGAACATAAATTTATGTATCTATAAATAAACTTTAAAAAATGAATACTTTATGTTTTACATCATCCTGTGCTACCATACCATGCATTTGGCTACTTTGGGCTTGCTATGATGACGCAAGAGATCTGCCCTGGCAACTGTACCGACACTCACAGCTGGTGGTGCGTTGGTGCATCGTTTCCATTGTTTACTGGTAGTTACTGGTAAATATTTTTCAACCTAACGAAACTATTACCCGTTTAGAGGTCGACCCCCAATTTTTTGCCAAATAATTTGGTCTTAAAAACTCGAACTACACACAGGTATATACGGTAAATAAGGACATGGGGGCCAGGGGTTTTTTGGGAGGGGGGCAGCAAAAGTACACGGATTCTTAACATTCACGGGTATCTCTGGTACCTAACCCCCGCGTATGTTAAGGGCCGACTGTAATACTGTCAGACTAACTCTAACAGTTATGCCAATATAATCCTACACTCTTTCTTTTCAAGCTTAAATATTCTTTCTCAAATCTCATTATTATCTATACAAGAGTTTGTCTTTCATATGCATCTTAATCACTACAGGTTTCAATACAGTACCTTCATAGTTATCCCTAATTTTTAATGAGTTCACTCTCCAAAAACCTGTACTATAAAACTATTGTAAAGCATTCTAGTCACCATCAAGCACACTGTCAACTTTCCTTTCCTTGTATTAAATTCATCATCATCACAGTTTTACGGCCATTTTCCACACTCGTGTGTTAACCATGTTTACCTAATGGCAGCTCTCCATGCTACAGTCTCTTGTTGCCTCGCATCAGATTCTTATCTCTGAGTAACTCTCACGACCTCTCTCCATGTCACTCTCGACCTACCATTCCCTCTCCTCACCTCCATTCAAACTCATGCACCTCTTAACCCAATTCATCTTCCCCATTCTCTCCACCTGCCCTAACCATCTCAGCCAACTTCTACACAAAACCCCCATCAATAATCTCAACACCCTTACCTCTGAACAAGGTTACCTGTAAACGTTTGTTGTAACTTGTGTACCATTACAAGGGTTACACTCTGACTTCCAGTTGTGACCTTGAAGTTTGACAGAAATTTGAATTAGATGCTCCACACTTCTGTTTTGATACAACTGTCATACTTGAATACTGAGAGACATAAGTGTAATGTTCTATACATCATCTTTTTAGATGACAACAAGTGATGGGTGACTAGGTGTGCATACAGGGGGTCGGGGTGTTGGCCATCCTGCATTACACCAGGAATAAACTTGACTTCACTTGCATGAGACTTAATATTTTTCCTCAGGCTGATGTACACATACCTTGCGAGGACAGAGAATGTGAGGAGCGAACATTGTACCCAGATTGATGGCCGGCATAAGATTTTGTTTTTGGTGGGAGGCCACTCGGTGAAGCAGGACAAGGAGGTCATGCAACAGCTGGTAGTTTTCTGGTGGCAACAGGAGAAATAGAAGACGAAGGGCCTTGATCTGACGTGCACGAGTAAGTTCCTTTTGGTCACGGCTCATGTGTGGCTGTAGCATCTCTGTGAAGTAAACTAATTATCTGAGTGTGTATCCATTATATTATATATAATCTACAGTTTATTACTTGATTAAGACAACTTCCTGTAGTAATACACTGATCATTACTGGTAACTATACTTAACATAAACTACAGTACTTCCTGTAGTAATACACTGATCATTACTGGGAACTATACTTAACATAAACTACAGTACTTCCTGTAGTAATACACTGATCATTACTGGTAACTATACTTAACATAAACTACAGTACTTCCTGTAGTAATACACTGATCATTACTGGTAACTATACTTAACATAAACTACAGTACTTCCTGTAGTAATACACTGATCATTACTGGTAACTAAACTTAACATAAACTACAGTACTTCCTGTAGTAATACACTGATCATTACTGGTAACTAAACTTAACATAAACTACAGTACTTCCTGTAGTAATACACTGATCATTACTGGTAACTATACTTAACATAAACTACAGTACTTCCTGTAGTAATACACTGATCATTACTGGTAACTATACTTAACATAAACTACAGTACTTCCTGTAGTAATACATGTTAGGTGTTCTGGGTAATAAGTTCTATATACAGGAGAGAACACAAACACCTGTATAGTTTTGTAGGTTCGGTTTACTGGATAAGAGTATGTACACAGAGGGGGGGTAGCACTCCTCAGCTAGGCTCCTGGTCAACTGCTATAGACGACGTATGGCAAGTGATACATTAGCAGCTTCCATACGTCGCCAGGCACATTAATTAAGCATGTGGGATATGGTAATAACATTGCCACACGCTGCTAGCTAGGCTGAATAAATATAAATGGAGCACATACATAATATACATACATAATACATAATCCAGCATACATAATATACATACACCTCCCTCCCCCCTATACGCTCATAGCAAAGTCTTGAGCGGACCTCTTTTGGATCCGTTCTGAGCGTCGAGGGACTTCATCACTGGGAAGGGTATGGGACTCAACACTGGTGGCGGGGCCAGCAGAAGGCATTGTTACGGGGCGGAGAAAACGGCGGTTCCTCCACCACACACGACCACTGGGTAACCGCACCTGGTAGTCCGTGACCTGCCGAGACCCATGACTACGCCTACTTTGTCCCAACGTAGGGAGGGTCGGGTCCTGAACACGGACTTGGGTGCCGACACTCAACCTGGGGAGAGAACGGGCGTGGTCGTTGTGGCGACGACGTCCTGAACACGTTCGGCGGCTCGGCAATCCTCTGTCTTGGCCTGCCACTCCTTGGAGAAGGATTGAGGGTGAGCAGGGACACAAGAACGAAGGGGGCGTCCATACAAAACCTGGGCAGGGGAGCGTCCGGTGTAGTTGGGTGTGTTGCGGAGTTCAAGAAGACCCCGGTCGAAGGCCTCGCAGTCAATGTTCCCAGAAGGGGCCACCTTAAGGATGAGGTGCTTCAGGGATTTGACAGCAGCCTCAGCGTGGCCGTTGGACTGCGGGTAATGGGGCGATGACAACACATGCCGGACTCCCCATCGGTCAAGGAACGCAGCAAAGTCCCGGCTTGTGAACTGAGGCCCTCCGTCGGTTCGCAGGCGTACAGGAACGCCCACGTCACGGAAGTAGTGGCGGAACTTGCTGATGGTGGCGGCAGACGTCGTGTCATTACCGCACTTGATGACAACCGGCCAACCAGAGAGACGGTCGACGATAACAAGGAAGGACTTTCCTGACACACAGAAAAAGTCGGCCGACACAGACTCAAAGGGGCGGGTGGGGTTGTCGTCACTCATGAAGGGTTCCTGCTGCTGGCTGGGTTGTAGTACTTGGCAGGGCTCACACGCACGGACAACATTGGAGATGTCGGAGTTGATGCCGGGCCAGAACACAGTCTGTCGTGCACGTCGTTTGGTGGCCTCAGCTCCACGGTGACTGTCGTGAAGGCGAGCCAAGGCGTGGGGACGTGATGCAGCAGGGACAACTACACGTGCTCCGTACAGAACAAGGTCTCCGTCGCAGTAGAGTTCATCGCGGAGTTTCCAATACGGGAGCAGGGTGTTGTGAAGATCGTAGCGGTTGCTAGGAAATCCATTCCTCACACACTCGACAAGTCGGACGTAGGAAGGGTCATCTCGGGCCGCTGTTCGAAGGTCCTCCATTGCCTTGTCGTCATCTGGTGACAGGTCCGAACGAAGGGATTGGACGGCATGGAGAGTGACCACAGTCCTAACGGAAAGAGCGAGGTCGGCGTCGAGCACATGGTCTTCTGGAGTAGGGCGGCTGACAGGAGAGCGGGATAAGGCATCAGGGATGCAGAGCTCCTTACCAGCACGCCACACTGCTGTGAAGATGTACGCCGAGAGCTTCTCTTTCAGACGCTGGAGGCGAGGGTTCTCAACGGCGTCTAGCGTGTAGTGGTTGAGGATCGGGACAAGCGGGCGATGGTCGGTCACTAGGTGAAAGTGTTGCAGGCCTATGAGGTAAAACCTGCACTTGGACATCGCCCAAACCACAGCCAACAGCTCCAACTCAATAGTGGCGTAGCGCGTCTCAGTGTCAGAGAGGAAACGCGAGCCACACTGGACGAGCCGGAACTGCCCTCCACCATGATCCTGCAGTAGGGCGTATCCCACGCCATACAAGCGTGAGGCATCTGTCTGCAGAACTGTCGGCAAGGCTGGGTCAAACGTGGCGAGGACAGGTGGACGAGACAGGGCCTGTTTCACTTGCTGGAAGGCCTTGTCGTGGTCGGGGGTCCACAGGAATGTCCTCTTGGGGCTCATCAGGGGGCGAAGTGGTTGAGCAGCTGCGGAGATGTCCGACGAAAACTCTGCTAACTGGTTGACGAGACCGATGAAGGACCTCAAGTCGGTCAGGTTAGCAGGGGTGGGAAAATCCGTGATGGCGCGGACCTTTTCCGGGTCAGCTGCGATACCATTCCCTGAGAGGGTGTACCCACAAAAGTCAACTGAAGAGCTGGCCAGAACAAACTTGTCGGCATTTAGGGTAATGCAGTGCTTCCGGCACCTGTTGAGTACCTCGTAGATACGGCAGAGGTGATCCATATAATCCTCGTCGTACACGAGTATGTCGTCGACCACTTTCACACAGTTTGCCAGACCTTGTAGAGCCATATCACCTCGAAGACAGAAAGCGTCTCCTGTAGCGGCGAATCCCATGGGGCCACGGCAATAACTGTAACGTCCATGCGGGGTGATGAAAGTTGTGAGTGGTCGGTCTTCTTCGGCAAGCTCTATCTGCCAGTATCCACACAGGGCGTCCATCGTCGTGAAGAAGCGCGCCTTCGGGTTCACACTGCGTATAGCTGCAAAGGGCGTGGGAGAAGGGTGCGCAGGACGAGACACCTGGCTGTTGAGCTTGGAGAGGTCAGTGGTGATCCGAACACCACCTTTAGGTTTTGCGACGACAACCATCGGGTGACACCATGGAGACGGGTCATCGCCGGTTGGTGCAATAATTTCTTGGGCGACCATGGAGTCCAGCTCGTTTTTGACCGCCTCGCGGAAGGCCAGGGGAACCAGTCGAGGGGTGTAAATAGCGAAGGGCTTCGCGTCGTCCCTCAGGTGGATCCTCATGGGGGGACCTACCATCTTCTTGAGAGGCTTGGATTCCAGAGCGGACTTGGTCACCAGAACGTCGCTGAATTCCTTCAGGAAGTACTTCCGAGCATCCGAAGGAGAGGTGTCACTGGCAAGAGGCAGGGGTAGGGCGGCAGCAGGGTCGTTGCTGCTCCCTTTTTGCACCCTGTTGGCGTGTTTTACCTCAAGAATAGGTTTGGGGAAGTCCTGGGAGATGATGGCCAACTCTTGACAATGTCTGTAGGACAGCAAAGGAGTCGGGACACCGTTATGCACATCAATCCAGGCCTGACACGACCTGTTGCCAAAGGTGACTTGTGCTTGGAGTGAACCCAGGGCCGGGGTCATCTGTGAACCGTCTGCCATAAAGCGGAGATCCTTGGGGGGCGGTCCTAGATCACTTGGAGAGAGCCCCAAGCATTGCAAATGCTGGGGACCGATGACTGTAGCATCAGCGCCGGTGTCGGGCAACATCTGAAGACGGGATGACACACTGCGGTAGGTCACAATGACACTGATGTACTGGGGGACTTTGGTCCTGGGACGCGGGGGGGAGCACACATTCCTAATATGGCTCCAGCGTTGTCCAGGGTCGTCGTGCCTCTGATTGGAAGACTGTGGGCGGCCCTCTCTGGTGGAAGGGCGCTGAAGCTTCCGCCGACGCTGTCCCTTGGGTTTGTTGGAAGGGCAACACTTGTCATAGTGGCCCAGACGACCGCACACATTGCACTGGACGCGTTTGGCTGGGCACCGTACTGTGAGTGACCAGTGGCCCTTACGGTCACAACTGTTGCAGGTAGACTCAGCGGCTGGACACACCTGTGTTCCGTGCTGCTTACCACAGTTGTTGCAAAATGAACCGGGCGTGGACGTGGTGGGCGAAGGCGTAGGAGCAGACTTCTTGTCCTTCTTGTACCGGGAAACAGCGCGTACAGCTGTAGGGGGAGCTCGGATGGCAGAGGTGGCACACCTGGCAGCCTCATAGGAGCGACATATCGTCAACACATCCTGAAGAGAAGAGGAAGAGTCGAGGGAGGTGAGGCGTTGGACAAGTTCCTCGTCCTTAACACCCATCAAGATCACCTGCTTCAACTGGGTCTCCTCGCACTGCTGGTGGTGGCCTAGACATATATCTACCTCTTCCGAGGCTCTCTTAAGACGTACATAAAAGGCGTCAAAAGACTCACCCTCCATCTGTCTGCAGCTAAACAATTCCCTCCTGCGCAGAGCTTCATTCTGCTGTCCTTTGATGTGCCGTTGTAGAACGTCCAGTACCTCCTCTACAGACAACGAAGAGGTTGGGGGTACCTGCAACGTATGTTCCAAGACACGCTGAACTTCCAAGGACAGGCACATACGCAGCTGGATGAGTTGTTTAGGCTGAGACAAACTCTGGAGATCCACCATTGTAGAATAATCAG